TATATATATATATATATATATATATATATATATATATATATGTGTGTGTGTGTGTGTGTGTGTGTGTGTGTGTGTGTGTGTGTGTGTGTACTATAAATGTTATATAAATATTAAAATTATTATGTAAATTATATTATATGAATATAAAATTATTATATAAATATTAAAAGTATTATAAATGTGTAATTATAAATATTAACACTAGATATACCACCATTTTCAGTATACCTATTTCTACCACACTAATCAAAATGACTGATGTATAAAAAAAAATCCTTTTTGAGACTTCCAGTCTTTATTTACTCTTAACAAATAACACAAAAAAATGTTTAACAATAATAATTTTAGAGAGATAAATGGATGTAGAGACATTTTTAAATTATTTACAGAAATCAAATGTTACATAAAGTAGAAATTTTGAATTAAAATGGCCCGACCAGTCAAAATGACTAATCTTGTATATCTCGTGTTAATATATATATATTAATAAAAATCATTGAAAATATCTTATTTAATAATTTATAATCTTTAATAAAATTGTAATTTTAATTTTTAAAATTTAAATAAATTTGAAAACTAAATAATTGCGCAATAAATTTAACTACATACGTCATTTACATATACACACACAAATATATACATATATTGAGAAAAATTCTTGAGGATATCTTCTCTTGCGAAGAAAATGTAAAAATTACTGAAAACATTATTTATACACGTTTAATCTTTCCAATACTGATCATAGATAAATCATTTACATAAACATAGTAAATACTAACATTCATGATAAATATAATTGTGTGTATATTATTACATAGGTCGTAATCGTTAAATATTATCACTCATTAATACATACATTCATTAATAATAAACTAGTATTGATATCACCATGAATTTATGACTTATTCTAGATAATAATGTTTAATAAACAGAAAATATGTGAACTCTGTGGAAATTCCAAGACATAATTAAAATTACGTTCTCAGAATTATTATCCAACTTATCTACATCAAAATGTTTTTATAAGAATAATTAAAAAAAAAAAAAAAAAGACATGTTAGATCAAGATAACAATTAATACAATAAAAACACACTATTTACAATCTATTTATTAATAATTTCAAACTCATAATACTTGAACATAAATTTGTATTTTGTATTCAGAATTTTCTTTTTAAAATTGTTGAACAACTTTGTCATACCTAATCATTTATTCTATTACAATGATGTAAAACATATTTTTGTTTATTTTTTTTTTCTTTATTTATTTATAGATGAAGACATTGTTAACACTGTTGGGTTTGATTACCCTAAGTTTAGCAATACCACGTCCACAAGGTGACAGTTTAGATAATTTGATAAGCAATGTTTTTGGTAGACCACCTTCCTCGACTACTGCTGCACAACCACAAAATACAAATGGAGATTTGGATAGCCTAATTGATAATGTTTATAGTAGAGATACTGTCAGCACTTCACCACATACTATTCTTGGAACCCAAAATCAACCTACTAAAACAAACAACAATTGCGAATGCGTTCCATATTATCAATGCAAGAATGGAACAATAGTGGACAATGGAGTTGGCATCATTGATATCAGGTCCAGTTTTAATGAAAGAGTGGGGTGAGTGCGTTCCCAAATAGTCTCTTTTTATTACAAAATTAAATTTTCTTTTTATTATATTTGGCTTATATTTTCATTCTTTATATTCTTTGTTTTGGTTCTTTGTTTTTGCATGTACTTTTTTAAAAAATATTTATTTCTGCATACATTTGGCATTTATGCATTTCTTTTAAATTTATATTTCATTTTTTTTTTTTTTTGTATTCTTTTACGGCATATTGATTGGTTTTTTTCTTTCTCATACAAATATTACAATTGACCCCATGAAACATAATTGAATGTACAAATATTTGGGAAATGTTTTGTTTTTGGATCATTTTTGAATAAAATGTTGTATATATATATGTTAGGGTGAGTCAAAAAAATTAATTATTTTTTTTTTACAAGTGCCACGGAAAAATGGGTTGCTAGACACCTTAAAACAATTCTCACCGTTTGGTGAGAGCTCATATTTATGTGCTCTTAATTTTAATAGGAAGATCCTCCGCATCGCAGTTTTTTATTTGTTTTTTTCAGTCTGATAGATTAAAATTCATACCTCATTATTTATTGATTGTACAGAAAAATGTTCTAGACGAATTTTGTAGGAAATTTAATGCTCTACAAAAAATGTATCTTATATTTTTTCCGTAAACCTCACCATTTGAATGATATTGAAGATTTAAGTTTGATTGTTTTAAAAATATCAAAAGATATTTATCATCAAACTTACATGTGTACTGATTTTTGTCTCTGAATATCTTTTGAACGCCTAATTTAATCGCCAAAACATAAGACACCATTTTTATARAGCAGTTAATTTCCTACAAAAATTTGTATTGTGCACTTTTTAATAGTCATTTATTGTCGAGTTATAAAATTCATAAACAAAAATGAAATTTGTCTAAAAATCATCAAATTTAAATCTTCAATATCATTCAAATGGTGAGGTTTACGGAAAAAATATAAGATACCTTTTTTGTAGAGCATTAAATTTCTTACAAAATTCGTCTAGAACATATTTCTGTACAATCAATAAATAATGAGGTATGAATTTTAATCTATCAGACTGAAAAAAACAAATAAAAAACTGCGATGCGGAGGATCTTCCTATTAAAATTAAGAGCTCATGTTTGGTGAGAATTGTTTTAAGGTGTCTAGCAACCCATTTTTCCGTGGCACTTGAAAAAAAAAAAATAAGTCATTTTTTTGACCCACCCTAATATATTTATATATATATGTATAATCATCAAAATTGTATATATATTACTGTAGAATAAAATAAAATATAAACAAAAATATTGCAACGTGCCGTTTTAAAATCACATACATGCAAAATGAAATGATTCTAATGAAAATGATTGAAGAATGATCCATAATGAGGAGACTGTTTTGGACGCAAAGTAACTTCATTTATTTTCAAATAAGTTACTTCCACCCCTCCCCCCATCCCTTATTTTACATCTCATCAAAGTATAAAATAATTGACGTGTAACATTTTTATTCATTTTTTGCAATTTTTCTTATAGAGCATTGGATGGGCCTTGTCAAAATTATTTGGACGTGTGTTGCACACCATCAAATCGTTTGGTAGATGTGACTACACGATCACCACCAATTCCAAATCCAAATCCAAACCCAATTCCAACGGTAAGGCCTAAGTGTGGTCAGAGACATGCTAAAGGTGTTGGTTTTAGGATTATTGGTGATACAAATAACGAATCACAATTTGGGGAATTCCCATGGATGGTAGCAATTCTTAAAGAAGAAAGTATTGGACCAAATGGAAAGAAATTAAATGTTTATCAATGTGGTGGTGCTTTAATTACTACAAGAGCTGTCCTAACAGCAGCACATTGTGTTAAAGGGTAAATTATCAATGATATTCAAATGATTTATTTGTTACATGGTTAATCCTATTCTTTCCACCCTTCACCACTCTTATTATTTGTGTAACATTGTTATGTTTGATTCTTTAAATAGAGTTAACCCTTCAGAACTTCGTATACGTGCTGGTGAATGGGACACTCAAACTAGTAATGAAATTCTTCCATATCAAGATCGTTCTGTAGACAAAATTGTGGTACACGAACAGTTCCATGCTGGTGCTCTTTACAACGACATTGCTGTTGTAATTCTTTCTAAACCAGTTGACATAGCTGAGAACGTTGATATTGTTTGTCTACCTGATAATAGCGATGTTTATGACGGAAGTAAATGTTTAGCCAGTGGTTGGGGCAAGGATGTCTTTGGTAATTAAAATAACCTCTTTAATTACATTATTATATAAGATTCGTATTTAATCAAATTAAATAACTTTATTTTTCAATTCTAGGTAAGGAAGGACATTATCAAGTAATTTTGAAAAAGGTTGAATTACCTATCGTACCTCATGATACTTGTCAAAATGTTTTACGTGAAACAAGATTAGGCAAATATTTCATATTGGATCGTACTTTCATTTGTGCTGGTGGTGAAAAAGGAAAAGATACTTGCAAGGTATTATTATTATTATTATTATTATTATTATTATTATTATTATTATTATGTATTATTTGAAATTATTATAATAAATTAATTTATTATTATTTTTTCAGGGTGACGGTGGTAGTCCATTGGTCTGCCCATTAAAGGCAAATCCTAATTATTATGTTCAAACTGGAATAGTTGCATGGGGTATTGGTTGTGGTCAAGATGGAACTCCGGGAGTTTATGCTAACGTTGCCGAACTTAAACATTGGGTCGACGAACAAATTGTCTTTAACAATTTGGATAATACCGTTTACCAATACAAACCTTAAAAGAGACTGACAATTTACTTTTATTTTTATCTATTAATATTGCTTATTATTTTTTCTTTTTTATTTTTCTTTTCATTTCTTGCATTTTAGCAAATCATTTCTTTTCTTTTGCATCAACAATTTGCGTACTTGTATTCTTGCATCTCGTATGTAACAATGTATAGACAGTACATATATATTAATTATTGCTTTTCTGACGAAATAAAATAGAAAATGACCGGTACTATTTAAATGATTATCTTATAACAGTTAATCATTCTATTTTATTCTTAATTTATTGTTTAATATTTCAGGATATTTTGTTTTTCTGTTTTGTAACGCGATATGGTGTTAAGGAAATAATTTATTCTTTTTTTTTCTTTTTTTGTTAAACCATATCGTGAGATATTTTTCTACTTTTATTTAAATTTGATAAATACATATAATAATAAATGCATTTTAAGCATTTTTGTTCTACAATAAAATACACATTTATTATGCATTATATAATCAAACATTTATATCATATATAACATGGATTTTATTTTATTTTTAAAGTATTAAACATAAAAAATCATCTATATATATCAATACTGTATTCATTACATATAATGTATTTTATTAGAATATTGTAATCTTTACTTTCATTTGAACCAATATCGATGATTGACTAATTCTTTTTATCGAAATAGTTTATCACTTATATTTAAATTTGGCGGCATATATATAGTGTACCACGTGATCGCGTATCACGAGACCATACCCCGCGTGACTTCTATTTTCAGCAAGTACCGTTGCGTGGCGCTTTGATCGACTGTTAGTCATTTATTACCAATCCACTTGCAAGTGTTTACATAGTAATTATTTTCTAATCGTAATACTAATGCAATTTTAATGATAATAGGCTCATTAGAAAGATAAAAAATTAAGGTATGAAATTATTTTGTTCGATTATAGAAAAGATATTTTTATCATTGAAAAATATCTGTTAAATATACAATTGTTTTCATAATGTAATTTTCCAATGAATAAAAAAAAAGTTCTTTTTTAAATGATGCAAAAATAATCTTAACAATTCATTATTTATCTTTCCACCTATTACCTTATTATTACTATAATTTTATATAAATGTATAAATAAATGAATTAAAAGAGATCATTCTCATTTGTTTTTTATATTACTGTATGTTATTTGTAATAATTCTTTTTTAAATACTACATATCTTGTATATAATATAACATAACCTGTAATTATGTTAGATTTTTTTTTGGTATAATTGTTACTTTATTGTCATTTCAAAAAAGAACCTTTTGAACTATTTAAAATGTTACTAATAAGCGAATATTTATAAGTGGCTGATATTTTGAACGATCAGAATGCATTTTTCTAATTTTACTAAATAATATTATTTGAATACTCTGTTGATATACGTATTATATATTTTAGGCGGTAACATTAATATTTAAATGTTATATCTTAAAAGAATTATTTTTAAAATTATATATATATTGAATAAATAAAGTTAAAACATTATAAACAATTTGTATATAATTACATAAATTATCTAAATGTTCAAATTAGCCATTTAAATATTTTTAATTAACCCTTAACGCTCCAAGTGTTCTCAGACACCATCACTGGTGTACAGTGTTGTACTTCAAATATATTGTTGAGTTATCGATAAAGGTTGCAAATCAAAAATAATACTATTCAATCATTTACAAGCAATATTGTGTAATATTTAAAATGTAACACTTAAAATCTTGCAAGTTGTGAAGTGCAATGAGAATAAATTGAAGTTGCATGTCGATAACCCCAATCAAAAGTTGGAGTGTTAAGGGTTGATAAGTATTTTGATGTTAAAAAATTAATAAAACTAGTAGACCAATTTAATTTAAATTTTACAGAATATTTAAAAACTTATTCTCTATGAATTAAATAAAATAATTTATGGCACTGTTTGCATTATATTATATATATATATATATCACATGTAATCAAAATATCAACAAAATGATAACAAATAATAAAATTAATAATACTGAATGGATATAAAAATTTCTTAATAAATATAAACATTGAGATTAAAGTAATATAAATAATTTAAAAAAAAATATATATATATATATAAATAAAAAAGAAATTAAATATTCTTGATGATTACATACCCCAAAAAAGAAAATAGTTTTCTCATTAATTATAATAACCGGACCTAAAGAACAAAAATAAAAAATAATAATATACATAATATATAATTATTTATAATAAATGAAATAAAATTCAACTCACCAAGAATTTCGAGAATTTTGAAATACTTTATGTCAGGTATATGTTTCCCTTCTTTCAGGCAATTGACGATATTGCATTTTATTATGTACATTTTGCATATTATAGAAAATAATCCATTTGCATGTTGACGTTGATGCCTGAAAAAGACAACATTTCATGAAATATATTTCTGCGATATTTTATTTACCAAAGAAATTTTTTTTTTATATATATGTATATATATATTAATTTTTTTATTTAAAAAGAAAAAAAAATGTATATCATAACTTAACAACACGCTTACGAAAATATCCCATCATCCTTTCATCAAAAAATCCATTCGCTCTCAATCGTCTAATACCAACTTCTCTCGAACTGGTGCAGCACATCCAAGTATTTTTTTTTTTCATGTAAACTTCTTTCTCATATATATATATATATATATATTTTTTTTTATATATATAAATAAATCCTTTCTTTCTTCACTTTCTTTCTTTCTTTCTCTCTCACTTCTCTCACCTCTCTTTCGCTCTCTCCCTTCCTTTCGCTCTTTCTCTCTCTCTCGCTCTCTTACTTTCTTTCTTACTTTCTTTCTTTCTTCCTTTCTTTCTCTCTCTCTCTCTCCCTCACCCTTTTTTTTCCTTTCATTTCTTTTGTTTTTTTTTTTGTATTTTTAATGGTACAGCTGGAATCTCAATCGTTAAAAACTTACAAATTTGTAAACAACATGTTGTTTTCAAAAAGGTTTGTTTGTTTGTTTGTTTTTTTTTTTTTTTTTTTTAATTAAATAATATTTAAGAGAAACAATAAGGGGAAATTCTACGATAAAAAATCACATTGAGTTTGATTTGTGTAATTCACTTCGGGATCTGTAATGGTCCTAGAAAAATAAAATTTTAGTGAAGGAAATATTTTCATACATATAGGAGAGACAGATCGCAGACAACTTTTTGGTTGATCCACAGTTTTCACCTGTAATTTTGTGATTATTTCTTTTTTTTTTCTTTACTTGTTCCTGTTGTTATTATTCTTATTACAAACATTTTATTTTCCTATAAATATTAGAACTTAGATTAATTTAGAAAAGAAGAATTGTTATGTATGTGTGTCAGTGATTAAAATTTTAGTCACAGTGTCTCATTTGATTCAAAAAAAAAATAAAATCAATTGTAGTAAAAGATCAGGATCTTTCTTTACAATTAATTATAATTTTATACAAATGTAATTGTTTGTTTTTTGTTTTTTTAATACAATGAATGTTAATCAAATTTATAAAACATGTTTATTATGCCAACTACTCGACTCAAATTTTAGTCACAGAGTGTCTCATTTGATTCAATAGAAATCAATTGTAAAAATAGATCAGGATCTTTTTTTACAATTAATAATAATAATTATACAAATGTAATTTTTTAATACAATGAATGTTAAGCAAATTTAGAAAACATGTTTATGATGCCAACTACTCGACTCAAATTTTAGTCACAGAGTGTCTCATTTGATTCAACAGAAATCAATTGTAATAAAAGATCAGTATCTTTATCTACAATTAATAACAATAATTATATAAATGTAATTTTTTAATACAATTTATGTTAATTAGATTTAGAAAACATGTTTATGATGCCAACTACTCGATTCAAATTGTAGTAACAGAGTGTCTCATTTGATTCAATAGAAATCAATTGTAAAAATAGATCAGTACCTTTCATTACAATTAATAATAATAATTATATACATGTGATTTTTTTTTTAATACAATGAATGTTAATCAAATTTAGAAAACATGTTTATGATGCCAACTACTCGACTCAAATTTTAGTCACTGAGTATCTCATTTGATTCAATAGAAATCAATTGTAATAAAAAATCACACTCAGGATCTTTCTTTACAATTAATAATAATAATTATACAAATGCAAATTTTTAATACAATGTATGTTAATCAAATTTAGAAAACCTGTTTATAAATATGAATTATATTAAGATGCCAACTACTCGACTCAAATTTAAGTCGCAGTGTCTCATTCAATTTAACAGAAATTAATTGTAAAAAAAGGTTAGGATATTTCTTTACAATTAATAATAATTATATAAATGTAATTGTTTGTTTTTTTAATACAATTGATGTTAATTAAATTTAGAAAATATGTTTATATATATGTATATATATGAATTACTATGATTTGATAATACAAAAAGAGACGACACTTGTCAATGACAATTCTTCTTTTCATTAATTCAATTCAATTCAATTCAAAAACCAATCATACTAATTAGATCAAAAAAATAATATTATGATATAAACACGATGAGAAAAATATATTGTAAAAGTATATATATATGATTAATAATATTCCACATTTATTTGTTGTCGACATATTTAACGAGCAAACTTTGTTTACCATTTTTCTTAATAAATTCAGAATTATTAATAAAAGAATAAAATATAAGATTCATAATGTTTTAAAAAGAAAGATATATATATATATATATATATATATATTTAAAAAAAAATGAATCTTCCTTTTAGTTCTTCACTTGACTTATTTTTTTTTTTCATCTCTTGATGCTCGATATTTACATCGATGTCGATGATACAAAATTTTAAACGTTAAATGAAAAGGATGTATAAAGATGACATTATTATTATTATTATTATTAATATTATTATTATTATTATTAATATTAATATTATATTATTATTATTATTACCACATACCCAAAAAAGGAGAAGTATCTTAAGAATTTAATTTCATTTTGAAAACACTTCCACAAAATTTTCTTTTTTTTTTTTTTTGTGGATCAGTAAAGACGGTTTCGGTTTTCTTATTTTTTTTGTTTTGTTTGTTTAAATTTTCTGCACACGATTATAATAAATAACGTACTCTTTGCAACACACACACACTCTCTTTTATTTTCTCTCTCTCTCTCTCTCTCTCTGTTTTTATCTATCTAGTTATTTATCTATTTCTCTCT